ATAAATTTGAGAAAAATACAAGAGACGAAATAAAAGTAAAAAGTTTAAATTGAATTTTTTTTCTTATGGTAGAGGAACGACAGCTGGCAAAAAAAATAAAAAAAGAGAAATGATAGTTGGCATTAACCCTTGATTTCACTAGTATCTGCTATGCATCTTCCAAGAAATATCCTCATTGACTTGCCCACTTTATATCCTCTCTTATCCTTGGCCGCCTCAGCTCTTCTTATCAGAAAGAAAGTTTAGGCTTTGCAATCGCAATTAAGCTACTTCTAATTTTTGCTTGGCCCTAGTATCTCAACTTCCTTTAATTTCTTCGGCCAATCCTACAGGTACGCCATCTATTTAGTTCTTCAATCTTTATTTTGTTATCTCCTCTTTACAGCAGCATATATATATATATATATATATAATGAAAATATCTCAATTGTGTTGCGGATCGTATGATCTTATTAGCGAAAATGTTTCTTTTTAATTAGATTCCTCATTTTTAAATTGTTTATGTTTATCTTAATTAAAAACTAAGCTATTTTATTAATCTAGAAAATTCTCTCTGTTTTTTTTCATTTTTGGGTACTCAAGGTACATATAGACAAGTCTCCCAACTAATCATATTGGAATCATATGCTATTCTCCTGGGAAATATCCATCAACCCCTCTGAACAGTAAAACTAAGCTTGCAGTCGCAGATTTGCTTATATACTGCGTATTCTAATTTGCTTGGCCTAATTTTGGCACCAGTGTCCAACGTTGTTCGATTCCTTTTGCTAAATCTGTGGCAGGTACACTATCTATCTAGATCTTCAATTTTAGATTTCTCTATTGGTGCACAATTTGATTACCTTAGATTTCTTGCTTTCGATTGATTGCTAGTTTAGTTTTTTCTTTTTTTTTTTTTGAGTGACAAGCTGAGTGATGAAAAGAGCTAGTGACAATTTTCCCAACCCTTTTTGGTCTTAGTTTTTCATCCTATTGACCATTAGTTATTCCTATATCTTGCATGGTTTTTGAAGTTGTTGTATACATTCTAATACACATGATGTTTCATTTTATAGGGTCTTCTTCAATGGAGCTTCTGGTAGAGCTTATCATGGAGCTGGTAAAGTGTTTGGGGAAGTCAGCTTGCACTTGTCGAGATTATCACTTAAATTTTGATGAAGCTGTGAGTGATCTGGGAAGTGAATGGGGAGCTCTAAACAGTCGAAAAGAGGCTATCAATTCAATGGTAAGGACCAAGGTTCTTTGGGGGAAAGAAGTAAAACATGAAGTGCAAGGTTGGCTTGAACGTGTAGAAGAAATCAACAAGGAAGTGCAAGCCATTCAAGAAAAGATTCGGAGAGTAAAGTGGCACTCACGGGGTTGTCTTGGAAAACTTGTTTGCAAGAAAATTGAGGTGGTGAAAAAAATCCGTGAACAAGGTTGTTTTCCTGATGGTCTCGTAGTTGATAGACCTCCAACCTGTGGAGTCATAATGTCAAATGATAATCCAGTGGGTGAAGATTCTGCAAAAGAAAAAATCTGGGGATACTTGGTGGGCAATGAAGTTAGAAAGATTGGAGTTTGTGGGATTGGTGGGGTTGGAAAGACTACTATTATGAAGCATATCAATGATGAACTGGTGAGGGAGGCCAAGTTTGATAAAGTGATTTGGGTCACTGTATCTTACCCACTCGATGTAATTAAATTACAAGAAAATATTGCTCATGCTATTACTGAAGATGATACACAGAGACTCCCTGGAGGTGAGGATAAAGAGAGGCGGGCAGCTGAATTAAAGAGTGTTATGGGAAGAGTAAGGCATGTGCTTATCCTAGATGATGTCTGGGAAGTGTTTTCTCTGATTGAAGTGGGAATTCCAGAACCAACA